CGGTTTTATTTCTTGGGAGATTATTATTTAGTATCTCATTTATTTTAGTTTTTAGCTAATCCTCTGTCATATTATTTATTTCTACTCACATCTCTTTATTGTTTGGGAAATATATATATATATATATATATATATATATATATATATATATATAAATATAAAAGTGAACATAGAAGTTCTATGTTCACTTTTATATTTACACACGCTCTATCTCTGATATTGAGCACTTTATCCCATAAATATAGCACACCTTAAGACTATATTTCTTTATATATATATATATATATATATGCACATCGACAAAATAAGTTATGACGAGAAAGAAGTACGGAAAGTTTCGCTGCAAGTGTGTGGGAAAAAGTTAAAAATATAGATGATAAAAAAAAAAACATTAAAAGACAATTCGAAAAAGAAAAAAACAAATAAAGTTAAATAAAGTCAGAGAGACTTAAAATGAAATTAAAGAAAAGAAAAATGAAATTTGAAATTGTATAAATTTAATGATAGCTTACATATTGAAAGGCAGGCAGCACAAAATGTCATCCGACAAATGTTCAGCTTTCCGACGCTAAATTATTATTATTATTATTATTATTATTATTATTATTATTATTATTATTTCCTTTGATTTCTATTTTATACACATTTCTTGTCAGGTCCCAAAGGTCAAAAATGGCTTTATGACATTTTCATCTTTGTAAAAAATCAAAAACAAAACAACAACCCCCAAAAAAAAAAAAAAAAAACAAAACCCAAAGATCCTACACACTTTTCATAGATAAAGCTCTTCTTAATGTTTGATCTGTATTTGCGAGTACAATTTTTTGTATTTTTTTAATGCATGGTCGACCAGGAATCCATTCAATGATTCTACTGGAACATTTTCCTATTAATCTGAGGGCTCCAACTACAACTGAAATTATTGATGTTCTCATGTGCTACATTTTTTTAGATTTCCACTTCAAGATCCTTGTATTTTGATAGTTTTTTGAAGATTTTCAAAGAAACATTACAATCTACAGAGGCTGACATGTCAATAAAAAAGCACATTCTGTTCTTGTGGTCTTTGATCACGATGCCTTGGCGATTAGCTTTAATTGTTCTGTCTGTGTGTATTGTAAAGTCCCATGAAATTGTTACAGGTCCTATTTCTGTAACCAAGTTTGCGTAATGTTCATACGAGTTTCTTGCAGTGTCCCTCACGTAAAAGTTGCATATTTCCCAGTGCAGTTATTGGCCCACTCCATCATGCCGACTTTTATATTTAGTGTGTTCTAACCTAATACAAGACGGTCAATTGTTTCGGGATAATTATCATAGAATCTGCATCTCGAGTTAACACAATTTATTATTATTAATATTATTATTATTATTATTATTATTATTATTGTCATTTGGGATTTCATCATTTTTGTTGCTTTAATTACAACGTATCAGCTGATCCTTATCCTTCGGCTTTCCTTAGTTGTCTCTTGTTTTCAATAACATTTCTGGAACTTGAAACATGTTTAATCACGCTATCTTCATTCTTCTGCTCCGTATGCTGTCCTTCTGTTTAAACTTCTAACATGTATCCAGCAATAATTCGTCATGAGTTTGCACAGCCTCTCTACTCAGTTAGTGTATATTTCTTCATTACAAAGATTAAGCTTTTTTTTTTCTTAAGTCAGTGAAATTTGTTCATTAAAATTATTATTAGGCTATCATTTTCTTTAAGTTGTCGACACTATTTTCTCTTATTAAAAATCAATATATCATCTGTTGCAGACGATAATATACCATCTGCTAAAAACGATGTTATGTTATCTGTTGAAGACGATATGTTTTCTAATAGGTTTTATCATTAAAATCCGTTCATCTCTAGATATTTTGATTAAGCTATTTCAGGCTTTATGAATTTTTCATGAAGACAATCTGTTTCTTGAAAATTTAGAAAGTTTGTCTCATCTATTTCGTTAACGTAATGGTATATTAATCTTACTAGTAGAATTGTAGTCATATGATTTCGTTCGATATGCTTATATCTTACAATAATTTTAGAAGCAATTGATAGATTTTTAAAAAATTCCATTATTTTTATTAGTACGCACATTACTACACACGTTACATTTAGTAGGTTCACTAAGTGTACTTTACTATTAGGCCATAGAAAGTCGATTGTAGTTGTGATCATCAAGTCCATGCGAATTCCATGTCCCTTTTCTTAGATTCATGGTATGCACTTTTCCAGAGCTACATACGGTTTTGAATACAGAGTTTTCCTTCTCCTAGACCAGTTTATAACCAAGGCTACAGAGCCATGACTGTCCTTCTATTTACCCATAACAGGAGGTTTTGAATTAAGAGGTGGTCTTCTCAGAGACCTGTTTTCAACCAAAGCTGTAGGACCCAGTTTGTCGTGCCATTTATTCTACTGGAAACTATCGTAGGGTAAATGGACCTAATTTTGCTGTGATAGGTTCTCTTGGCCTAAGAGCAGGGAGCATAGATTTAAAGTGGCATCCCGATTGAAAAAAAGAAACCCATGTTCGATTCCAGTCGGGAGTTATATTTAGAGCTCGCAGTAGATTAATTTCACTCTGAAAAAAATATAGGGTTGCCTACTCAAGGACCTGAAGACAGTAAATATAAGATTCATATTAACAAGATATGACAATATATATATTATAATGTAATAATAGTATTAATATAATTCCAAATAATTATATATATATATATATATATATATATATATTAAACACTTAAAAAACATAGGTTTGATATTCATTAATTAATAACTTTGCTTTGTCTTGAACATAGGGCTCTCCTTAGATCTTTATCCTCTTGGAAATTCCATACAGTTAACATTTTAATTTATATATATATATATATATATATATATATATATATATATATATATATATATATATATATATGTGTGTGTGTGTGTGTGTGTGTGTGTGTGTGTGTCTATGTGTGTGTGCGTGATTTACAAAACAGCAGATATTTTATATATAGCGCTCAATAAAATATCAAAATAATATTAAAAATAAAGAGTTAATGATATTATATGAGAAGATTACTTAACATTTTGAATATCACTTTTTTAATTCATATTTAAAAAGTTATCTTTTCATTCATATATATATATATATATATATATATATATATATATTATGAAAAGATTACTTAACTTTTCAAACTGTGGATGACAATATATAG